TATCAACTTATTTAAATTATTTTGAAAGAACACATGACGTATATATCTGAATATCTCAATCTCTGTCATATCTATCTAACTGAATCAGTACTTCTCTATTTGGAATTTAACAACGAAATACAAACATAAATTTTATAAAAGCTAGTCTAACTTAATTATTATATTTTTCTCATTATTTGGTTTAGAAGTAAATAAAGACAATCAAATGTAATTGATTAATAGGTAAGGTTCCTAAAAAAACATTATCTTTAAATGTTCCTTCTTTTAATGTTCTTTGCAGTTTTTACTTCCTCTAAACACTTAGCGTATTTGTCCTTATCGAGATAAAATATTATCTTTTTGTTTGGCACAAGCTCGTCCATTATTTTATAAAATCTTTGCTGCATGCGAATCCAAAAATATAATTGTAAATCAATTTATCGCGCGAGTTCAAACGTGTCAAACGAGCGACTGAGGCGAGCGGAGTGGCGGAGACTGCTCGCGGGTAGCGGGGGCGGCAAGCTAGAAGTCGATGCGCTGAGCACATTATGACATGTTTTGTTTTTTAACATTTACCATGCCATTGATGTAAATCCTAAGATTTACCAACGGAATGGTGGTAAAAGTTCGAATTGCAAATCTTTTTGGACATTTACCATTAGGAATTGGTAGATCTTAGGTTTTACTGGAATATCTTAGGATTTACTGCAGTTCGAGCTTTTACAGTAACATATATACTTTTCCGGTATAAAATATATTTTAAAGTCACATTTTTAAGTTCGGTGTTTATCTAATTACACCCGTGTATATTTTTTTTTTAATTTTTCCTTGGACCTAATTTACACTTCTACAGTTATTGTATAAATTTGTGTTTCCAGACATGGAGCCCGCCTTTTGTACGCCTGACGTAGGTAACCCTCTCCTCTACGGAGACAATTTGGTGGGATTGGCGATATGGTTTGGGAGTTGTAGAAATAACGATATCCCTCGTTTGTTCACCAGAATATCCAAGTATACGAGTTGGATCGATAACGTGGTAAGACATCTTACTAATAGTTATCTAAATAATTATATACAACTTAAAGGTGACTGACTGACTGACTGACATGGTGATCTATCAACGCATAGCCCAATCCACCGGACGGATCGGGTTGAAATTTAGCATGCGGGTAGATGCTATGACATAAGCATTCCCAAAGAAAATATTTTGATGAATTCCACCCCCAAAGGAATATAATAGGGGATGAAAGTTAGTGTGAAACTTTGACAGTTTTACACTGATCGGGTTGAAATTTACCATACAGGTAAACATTATGACGTAAACATCCCTAAGAAAGGATTTTGATCAATTCCTCCTCCAAGGGAATAGAATAGGGGATGGAAGTTCGCATGAAACTGCTTTATTTGGTGATTTTTAAAATTAATTGGGTCTTCGTGGCTTCACCCCGCGCGTGACCACATTAATAGAAAAATTGTGCATAATAGCATTTTCTTTACAATTCCTCATTTCTCCTTTCCCGTAAGTACACTTCACGAGGAAAACATCTAGCACAACATTAAACTAGAGAAAATTTCCTACAATTTATGTTCAACTACTTTTTTGGCTAAATCAATAGTAGTGGCGTATAAACACTGCAAAGTTCATACAATCCAATGCGCATTTTGGAAAATAAAGAATTTCCACACCACGTGGAGTCCTCGTTTACGAAGACGTGGTGCGTTACGTGGCCCGTACGCGTCGGTCGTCCAGCGTACATTGCTCATTATGTTTATCATAATGTCATAATATCAAAAAATATTATTATTGGCCAGGATTGGACAATGATGTCAAAGAATTAGTTAGGCGTTGTGATAAGTGCCAACGGCAGAAACATTCAACACCGGTAAAACAACCAATGATTATTACAACTATGGCAAATACTGCATTTGAAAAAGATTTTCTAGTCAAAGTCAAAGTCAAATCATTTATTTCAATTAAACCATAGATTGGTACTTTTTAAACGTCAACAAATACAAAATAAATAATAGTCTGTCAGTCAGTCCGTCAGTGAAATTAGGTGAAGCTAGGTGCTCATTCCAAAACGTAGATTCGAATGGAGAAGAACGAGCAAGAAACTCCATTCGTTACTCTTTTAAAAAAAAGTATGTTCTACAATGTCTCTGATACATATTTCAATACTGTACGCATATGTAAGAACAATCAGTGGAACAATGCAAAGACACGCTTGACGCATTATACTAATAACTTACTAAAATAAAAAAAAATAAAAAAAATCTTATAGTCTAACATGGTGCTCACATATTATGCATACTGACAATCCATAGAAATAGTGATTCTATACAAGAAAAAGGAAACTCTGTTTCAACAAAGAAAGAAATGCTCGATGCCATAAGGAAACTAGATTGTATATGTTACCGGCCAAACCCGATTTCTGGACAAACTAGTTTTGCCTAGGCTAAACCAGTTCTTCCTATAAGCGTTAGGATTAACTAGTATAGCCTAGTTCAAACTAATTTGTCCTAAGCCCGATAGGACAAACCAGTTTAGGCTAGGACAAACTAGTTGATCCTGATATAAATACGCACACTCTAGGATAAACTGGTATGACCTAGTCATAATATTGTGATTATTGCGTCTATTAAAAGAAAACAATGTGACTGCCTCGTTGGCTGAGTGGTCGCAGAGCGACTGCCGGGGGTCTCGGGTTGGATTCCCGGGCAAAGTATTAGTTATTTTTTTTATTGAATATGCTTCATGCACAAAATGTACAAATACTTAATGCCGCAGGCGTTTTCTACCAGTCTGGCCTTTGGATGATGCAGAGAAGAGTAAATGGTAGGTCCAATTACTTTTCTTTGCATCACCCACGATGGCGAATGACGAATGGCGACGAATCATTATGATTTTAAATTAATAACAATTTAAATCATTATTGCTTCTTTTAAAAAACACTTATTATTTGTTATTGCATGATTGTTCGCATAACCAATTAACCATTTAATTAATAAGTTTTAACGACGAATCATTATAGTTTAATAAAAATGATATTTTTTTTCAATTACGGAGAGTCGAAATAAATAGATATTTTTTCTATTTATCTATTTATTTCGACTTTCTAGATATATTAGAATGTTTAGACTAGGCCATACCAGTTAATCCTAGAGTATGCGTATTTATGTTAGGATCAACTAGTTTGTCCTAGCTTAAACTGGTTTATCCTATCGGGCTTAGGACAAATTAGTTTGAACTAGGCTATACTAGTTAATCCTAACGCGTATAGGAAGAACTAGTTTAGCCTAGGCAAAACTAGTTTGTCCTGAAATCGGGTTTGGCCGGTAACATATACATTAGAATTAAAGTATTAAATTATGTATTATATTACCTACTATTGGAATTTAACTACTGACTACATTTGAGTATTGTCCAGTGGAGCCGAACCAACATGCTGCCAGGCATTCTTATCTTCAAGATAATCTGTCAGTGTGTAGTAAGCTTGATTACATAATTCGCGCTTAATATATGTTTTAAATTTACTTTCATTGAGATCTAGTATGCTATTTGGTATTTTATTATAGCATTTAATACCTAACCCCATAAAGGATTTCTGTACTTTGGACAGTCTGAATTGCGGTATAGCTAACTTATTTTTGCCTCTAGTATTAAAATTGTGTCTATCGCTTCTTTTTCAAGCAATTGCCTATTTTTCCTTACATACACTATATTTTCATATATATATATATTGACAGGGCACCGTTAAAATATTTATCGTTTTAAACAATTCTCTCAACGATTCGCAACGGCGTAAGTTATATATTGCTCGGATAGCCCGCTTTTGCAGAATAAATATTGATTCTATTTCTGCAGCTCGACCCCACAACAAAATGCCGTACGACATAATGCTGTGGAAATAACTAAAATAGACAAGCCTAGCTGTATCCACGTCCGTGAGCTGTCTAATCTGTCTAACTGCAAAAGCAGCTGAGCTCAATCTCCCCGAAAGCGCCTTTATATGCGGACCCCATTGTAGCCTATTGTCTAACGTAATGCCTAAAAATACTGTCTCGTCGACAAATTCTAACTTTTGACCGTTCAAAACAATATCACAATCGTTACTACGCACGTTTGGTAAACTGAATTTAATACATTTTGTTTTTTTTTCATTAAGTGCTAGATTATTAATGGTAAACCAATTATGCACTTGAAGAATGGAGCTGTTTACGTCGTCAAGATTATTTGTACGTCGATCTACTTTAAAAATTAATGATGTATCATCTGCAAAAAGCACCATTCTTGGTTCATTTTTAAATATAAATGGCAAATCATTTATATAGACTAAAAAGAGAAAGGGACCCAATATTGAACCTTGAGGAACGCCCATATTCATCCCAGAGCCCTGTGAGTTAATACCGTTAACATGAACCTTTAACTGTCTTTCTTCTAAATAAGATTTCATAAGACGGAGCGCAGAGTTTCTTATCCCGTAATGATCTAATTTCAGCAAAAGTGTTTCGTGGTCAACGCAATCAAATGCTTTTGAGAGGTCACAAAATACACCAATAGCATCCTGTGCTTCCTCCCAAGCACCAAATATTTCCTTAATCAAAGTGACACCGGCGTCAGTTGTGCAACGACCTTTAGTGAAACCGTATTGTTGTTGGTGAAAGATGGAATGTTTATTAAAATGATGAAGCATCCGAGACAGCATCAACTTTTCAAAGACTTTGCTGAGAACCGGTAAAACAGACACTGGCCTATAGTTGTTAGGTTCTTTAGTGTCACCACTTTTAAATAGTGGGATAACCTTACTATATTTCATTAGGTCAGGGAAAACACCGTCATCTATACATTTATTGAAAATCACAGCCAGATATGGCGCTACAGTTTGGATAAGTGACTTGCAAACCATTACCGATAAGCCCCAAAGATCCTCCGTTGATTTAGTCTTGATTTCTTTAAAAACTTTTATAATTTCTAGAGGATTCGTAAATCGAAAACTAAAGTCGTGTTGACATGATTCTATGTTGTTCTTAAGCAAAGTTACAGAGAGGTTTGCTGATGACTTTAAATGTTCAGTTGTTTTAATAGGAATATTAGTAAAAAAATTTCAAACTCCTGGGCTACATCTAAGTTTGATGAAATCTGTCCCCTTTTATTAAATTAAATTTAAATTAAATTCTGAGTTTCTTAATCTTTTCCTACCAGTCTCGTTGTGTATAACTTTCCAAGTAGTTTTTATCTTATCATCAGACGATTTTATTTTATTACTAATATAAAGACTTTTTGCGACTCTGCATACTATTCTAAAGGTTTTTGAATAAGATGTTACATACCGGTGAAATTGGGGGTCATTTTTGTACGGTTTCATTCCATAAAGTTCAAAAAGTCTTGAAGACAAAAGACCTTGTAAGACCTCTAGATACAGATAATAACAACCATTCATACATTTTAACATTGCAATGCGAACTAACCAAGTATGTGCAAGCTTACCCCTTAGTTTCTAAAAGAGTTCAATTTACTCCATATGAGCTAGTATTTGGCAAAACTTGTTCACTTCCAAGCAATTTGACTAAGAATGTAGAGCCCGTTTATAACTATGACTATTATCCATATGAGCTAAATATCGTTTACAGTTAGCTCATAAAATGGCTAGAGATAATCTGTTACAAGCTATGGAAAAAAGAAAAGTTAAATATGACTCGTACGTAAACCCTGTTAGTTACAAACCAAATGATTTAGTTATAGTAAAAAGCGAAGTAGGTAATAAGTTGGATCCCATATTTTTAGGTCCACACAAAGTTATTAGGGATGTATCGCCAAACGTAGAGGTTAATAAAAATGGTAAAAATGTGTTAATACATAAAAACCGAACGAATTATATTACAAGTAAAAAAAAAATCAATAAAAACTACGTTGTTATTTTATATTTCTCAATATTTAGTATGTTTTACGCATTGCAGTAAGATTTTTAATCGTATCATGTAATCATATAATCTAAATATAGTTTAAAAAATGTAATCATTTATCATTATGTAAAAAAAGAGTACTATGTAAGTAATTTTTTTCTGTTTTTTTTCCTTTAGTGGAAAGGTATAGTGGTATTAGTACCTATTACTGGACGCTAAATGTAAGTGTGTATGTATCCTTAATTATATTGCTTAATATCATAATAAACTCAGTTATGAAGCATCTCTCGTGTGTTTAACTCGTCTCCCTAACACTCACCGTACAGTGTATGCGCGGCTTGCTGCGCCAAGGAGACGAACCGCCCAACGTACTGCACAAGGAGAATGCGTCGTGTCTCCTTATATGAAATTTTAGAGTAAGCGGCGCGTTCTTTTCGTGCTGTCCCCAGCAGGCCAATAAGCCAAATGCACTTTTCGTTATTTTGCATAATGACATCAAAGAGGTTTGTATTCGCACCAAAGTCATTTGTTGGCCAAAATGGTTGGACTAGTGGTTACACCGTAGGTGTAGATGTCCTGCTAGGGTATTCTATAAGATGTCAATTCAACTCTCGAAGTGAGCTCGATCGCAGTCATGTTGTGAGAATAATCTCGACAAATGACGAGTGAAAATGAGCGATGGAGCTAACTTCGAGAGTTCGAATTGGCATCGTACAGAATACCCTAGCAGCACCCGGTGACGGCTTAGTGTCAATAAAAAAGGGGCAATCAATTGCCAAGCACTTGGTCTTATTCAACCAGTTGGAGGGTTGTTAATACATAATGTTTATTAGCACCTACTTGATCGTACTAGTTGAGAATTCCAACCAATATTCATTTGCCTTACTTACGACCACTGGAATATTTTACTCTGTTAGCGGCGTCTTCTTGCAAGAATACAGGTATATATTACAAAGTGAATAATTTGATGGTCTCGTCGTTATACATAATAACCAAATTGCTTAGTCAATGTGATAAATAATCATTTTAACCAGATATTATGAATAATAGCAGATTCAAATTAATTAAAGTGATAAATACGATCTAACGGCCCAGTCACGAGTGCGGTCTTAGCGGTGAGCGGGGTGGCGACGTTGAAAATCACGGCTGCACGACCAGCCGAAATGAATACGGCTGAGTCAAAAGCCACCGCTGCTTAAAATGTCTGATAAGTCAATTATTCCTCTTTTCAGATCAAACAGTCTACATATAAGGCTGACCCGCATCCCGGCGCCAGCTCAATGAACAAAATTGGGGTCACGCTGTTGATCCCCATCTTATATTCAGTACTCGGCGCTTAGAAGCAATGGATTCAAACACGAAACGTGGAGTTTTGCGGTCTTTCATTATTATTTAGACTTTAATTTTTTTTTTATTATATCTTTGCTAAAACGAGGAATTACGCCCGCGTGAGCAAAAACAACAGCTTTAATTGACCATTTCGGAGCATTTAATTTTAACTTTCATATATTATACAAACAGGGTTACTTGTAACTCGACGTATTCCTTATATATACGTATTCTTTATCTAAAATCACATAGATCAAACCAGTAGTTTTATTCATTGATGTTCTTTGTTCTTAGATCGGGATTTTGTCACCAAAACCGAAAATGTTGAATATCTCAGAAACTAGCTACTTTCGGGCTAGGGACCTCAGTGCTACTTTTGTATGACATTAGTTGTATTATCACCTCCCGAGAGGAATACGTCGAGTTGCAAGTCACACTGTACAGCCTTGGTCAAAAGTATTGAGCACCCTACAAATTTAGCTCATTTACGGTAAGTGTGGGAGAAAACTATATCTATTGTTGATGAACTATTTTGTCGGTCATCTACAAAGGTTTAAAAACAACGACTCACGCCGCAGCTAGCAACAAAACACCTGGGTGCAATAAAATGTGTATTTTACAATTTTTGTATTTATTTATCAGTTCGTTACCATCGCTCATTGTGAACACATTCAGTGATCTACTGCGCTTTTTGTATTTTATTTCGGAAGTTATTAGTATTATCGTTGCAAAATGCCTAAACGAAACGAACTTTCTTTAGAAAAACGTGTACAGATACAGCTTCTGTATGAGCAAGGGAAATCGCAAGTAGAGATTTCCAAAACTGTGAAATGTTCGCGTCGATCCGTGCATATGCTAGTTAGCGGTTCTCTGCTACCGGATCACATGAAAATAGATCAAGAACCGGGCGCAAACGCACCACCACAGACCGTCAGGATCGTCATTTTCTGAGAGAGTCATTAAGAAATAGGAAAAAAAACATCTTCCGAGCTTGCTGCTGAGTTGTTAGAACAAATTATGAAACCAATTTCCGCTCGAACTAATCGTAGAAGGCTTTAAGAATCTGGTCTGAAAGGATGTAAAGCTAGGAAGAATCCATAGCTCTCAGACAACAACAAAAAAGCTCGGTATGAATGGACCTTAAAACACCGAACTTTCGCCGCTTTCGCTTCGAAGATTGGTCAAAAACTGTGTGGTTCAACGAATCAAACTTTGAGGTAAGTACGTCGATTTAATGCCCTAATACAATTTTATAAAATGGTTGAAAAACCAAACGCATGAAAGAAGTAATTTTAGTTTTACAAAACTCAATATTTTTTCCTTTTTTACAGATTTTTGGTACACCTGGTGTGACCTTCGTGCGTCGCCGTATGGGCGAAGAATTTTAGCCAAAGTGTGTGATCCCCACCGCTAAACACGGCGGCGGCAGCATAATGGTCTGGGGTTGCATGACCGATTCTGGAGTTGGCGAATTGTTCGTGCGGCCCTCATGCATGGACTCTACCAAGTACATAAATGTACTAGAAACTGCGTTACTGCCTTCATTCACGAAACTTTTTGGTGACACGAACATGGATGGTGTAAAATCCAGCAACATAACGCACCATGCCACAAATCTGCCCGCACAATGTCATGGTTTCGGGAAAACAACACGGAGCTTCTTGACTGGCCTGCCCAGTCTCCAGATCTGAACCCCAAAGAATATTTATGGGGTTTATTAAAGCGTAAGATTAGGCGCCACACAATCAACAACAAGGAAGATCTCAAACACTGCCTGCGCCTAGAATGGAACGCAATTACTTCTGAAGACTGTAAAAATCTCGTTAATAATTTACCAAAAATAATTTCTGCTCTAATTACGGCAAAGGGTGGACCAACAAAATATTGATTTTCTATTAATAAATAGTAAAATAAACCCATATAAAATGTTTTGTTTTATTTCAATTTGATACTCAGCTTAAAACTTAAAGATGTCATGGGTGCTCAATACTTTTGGCCAAGGCTGTATAGTATAAAAGGAAACATCGACGGTTGAAAGGAAAGGTTTTCAAAGAATATGCATTATAGTAATACGAACGTTAAAAAGGTCATGTTGTTTTATTAAATCAATATCTCCTACTATTACGAATTTACGATACATTTGAGATCATGAATTAAAATTAAACAGTATATTGGTAATGAATTATGTACGTAATTAGAATGATTCCTTTTAGTTTAGTTACAATTTTAAAAGTAAATGAGTTTTGTGTGAAAATGTTAATGTGACTGGATTTTTGCAATAAAATGTAAAAGAAAACATTGTTCCATAAATAGAGGCAGTAAATTTTGTATAAATAGAAATTTTGGCGATTTCTGGTAAATGCTATTTTTATTTTTATATTATTTAAGTATATTATGGTGTTTTTTTTTTGTGTATTTAATTTGTTTGTATGTACATTATTTTCTTATATTTTGATGATTTTTATTATTTTCTTTATGCTTTTATGTTTCCTTTTGATATTATGTATTTGTGTAAGTATGTACTTGTATTTTTTTTTTTTCATAATCTTTGTTTGTGTGCCATGTGCCAAATAAATGCTTTTTCTTTCTTTCTTTCTTTCTTTCTTCTTTCTATTATGAATGGTCACAAATTATTCTCTAAAAGCTTTATACTATGAGATTCCATAAATTGTATAATATAATGAAGTCGGTTGATTACATTTTTTTATCATGTGTAAACAGATACGATACACGCAATTTCACCCAAAGGAGAACGGCAGATTTCGTACCGCTTTGCTAAAAAATGATTTGTCATTGTTTTGCCTTGCCTTGAATCCTCTAAATACGTTATGTTACCTTAGATTAATAATGCCTAGATGGATAGTCAGACCCGAGCGTACGGCGCGTCGCGTTCCGCGCGCGCCTCAAAGAGCCATCAGACCACCACAGATGGGGCCCAGTAGGGCCGATGCCGATTCGGAGTCGCGGAGAACCTAACGGGTAACCGGGGCTCTGGCTCGACGTGCAGGAGAAGGAACGGGGTGGTTTTTAGTCAGTAAGAGTCTGACACTCCCTTTCGCCTCACCCAGGCCGGAGTAGTCATTCGATGATTTCCCCCCTTAAAAAAAAAATGGCACCGACTTCTAACCTATCAGTGGGTGGGTAACCTATCAGTACTAATAATAGTTATATTTTGCTTTTTAGTTTTGATTTTTGGTTTGTTATTAGTTTTTGGTTTTTTGAAGTCGGTTTTTATTTTATTATTTTATCATTTTCAGTGTAAAGCTACATAGATCCGTTTTGTTACTTATTATGTACATAGGTGCAAAGTTCTAATCAATACAAATTACACAAGCCCAAACACAAGGTAGTTACTGTATACCGTTGAGGAGTTCCCTTAACAATTACACTTCTTCATCATCAGACCCTTAATGACAGCCCCACTCTATCTAGGTGTAAAGTCCTCATCAATACAAATTAATCAAGCCCAAACACAAGGTAGTTAATATAAACCGCTGAGGAGATCCCTCGACTGTCTGTCGGCTCTATCATCAGGTCGACTCCAGACCCTTATCAAATTGTAGTGTTTAAAAATCGTAATTGAAAAACACAATAGACGCATTATTCGCCCATAGAATTTTCGAAAGTTCCTCTCGGTTTCCCTAGGATCCCATCATCAGATCCTGACTTCATGGAAATGGGACCATCTCGGGAGTATACCCTTTCAAACAAAACAAGAATTTTGGAAATCGGTTCACAAATGGCGGAGTATTGCGCGAACAAACAAAAAAAAAAATCAGCCGAACATAGTACCTCCTCCTTTTTTTGAAGTCGGTAAAAAGGTCGTTCGTACCTCGTTTTAAACTTAAGGCGACCGTAAAAGCTAGATTTCAAAATACCTATAGTCTATTCTCTCGCGTCCGGGCCAAGCCATAGCACAATTTCTCCAGTTAGAAAAGAAGATGATCAGACAAGAACATTTTGCAAAACTATTGTCAATACAGGTGGCCGTAGAGGATGTTATCCTTGTTGGTTCTAAAAAAACATTTTTTAAATTAAATGATCCAAATAAAGGACCATGCCCATATTACTATGGAGTTGAAAGTCAGTAATGCTATGCAATGCCCAAATTACAGTTATATGTCATACGATAGCTCTTTAGCCATATTTGTATGATATCTAGATTTAATGTAATTTAAAGCACCGATTCAAAAGATTTTGTACAAAACATGAGAAGTTCCTACTGACATTTTATACACTTTATCGTTTATAGACAGCATTGCTATAAGTTTTCCACTAGAAACTTCATAATCATCATGACTTATCTGTATGTTGTCAGTACAGAATATGTATGTGAAATCGAGTAAATAATAATAATAATATGGTAAGAGACCAAATATGTGTCTACCCATGACAAACCGGTGTTTCTAATGAGATTATAAGGGCAAAAAGCAATATAATAGCATGGGATGTATTGAACTAGCTTTTCATGTTTTTTATATTATGTTTGATTCGATTTTATATTTGACTCAAAGACAAATACCAATTGTATTATTCAATGCCTTTTAAGTACTTATTTACTAATCCTTTATACTAGCTACTTCCGCGCGTTTTCACACGCTCTGCCAGCCTTCCTCGATAAATGCGCTATCTAACACAAAAAGAACTTCAAATCAGACTTGTAGTTCCGAAGATTAGCGCGTTCAAACAAAAAAACAAACTCTTTAGCTTTATAATATTAGTATATAGATTATACAATAGGTTGTTTACCTTTTCTATATCGGTTTGTTGCTGTATTGGTTTCTGGTGATAAGATACAGGTTGCGAAGAAAATAAAAACGAATTATTAGTAGGTAAGTGTTTATTGTTACATTCTTCAATTAATAGTAAAACGTTATCTAAAAATGATGCTGGCCTCAACCCAAATACCATATTATGGTCATGATGTGGCAACAGCAACCCACTGTTCTGTAACCAACGAGACAGTTACAACAGTAGCCTAATATTACATCTAAGCTATGATTATTACATGGTTCTGCATCAATTAAAATATTTACGGCTACCAACATGGCGGGACTGAATTCGAGCCCTTAATAAGTAAGGTCTATTTCATCCAACGGCTGCAACCATTTCTTCAGAATGTTCCAGTTCGGGACATACTTCTATTTCGTATAACCCATTTTTTCGAACATGCTCGCCGTAATACGATTGTGCTTGTTTAACCTGATGGGCCCAAAGCGAAAATAATTAAATCAGAGTAACTAAATGCAGGAAATATATTTAATTGAGGAAAGCTCCCATCGATGCGTCTAAACATGACAGATTGCCTATTTAAATTATAATTTCTTACAAATTCTGCCAAGTAAAGGAGTATGTAGATACTTCATGGCCCTTTCTATTATAAACCGGGACACATAAAAGTTGTGTTCTGTAATTAACATTTTTTTAATAAATGTTGGTATTAAATGCATTACCACAGTCAGCAAAAATGCAATGTTGTAATGTACTAGCAGCTCTCTTGTAGTAAGGTAGATAGATAGGGACCGATTCAACAGATCGTTGATCTGGCAGAGAAGCAGATGCAGGTGGCCATGCAGGTGCAGATGCAGGTGTAGGTGGAGGGGCTGGGGCAGATGCAGGTGTAGGTGGAGGGGCTGGGGCAGATGCAGGTGTAGGGGCTGGGACAGATGCAGAAGCCGGTTCAGATAGCAAATGTGGTATAGCCATTTCACGTTCAGAATCTTGTGCAGCTTGTCTGCTAGCTCGTCGCCAACAATTATGACAAACTGCAAAGCTATCTCTTCCATTCTGAAAATAATTATCATTGATAAATAAAACAATTTAAGAAACTGTCAATATACACAATCACTGAAATAATTAAGTTGAGTTACAAAAATATCCCCTAACCTAGGAAGTTTTGATGTTTATCTAAGGTATGTTTAACTCGTCGAGTACCGGTTTTGTAGAGACAATTAGCAATAACCTCAAGACTATGAGTCTGCCACCAAAAAAATAAATAAAGATCTGGAGGGTATATTTGAATGGTCGGAAAAAAAATCCTTAATACTAAATCCAGCTAAAACCAAATTTATGATCTTTGGGACCCCAGGCTTATTAGATAAAATTCCACTGAACACTTCCATAGTAATTGGCGTTCCTTAGTCTCTGCCTACCCCCATGGGAGACAGGCGTGAAGTTATGTATGTATGTATGTACTTCCGTAAGCATTAATGTAAAGGGTCAAAATGTAGAAAGAGTAAGTGAGGCGAGAAACCTGGGCCTTGTAGTGGATGAAGGACTAAGGTTTGAACGGTTTACTTCTGACTGTGTAAGAAGTTGCTTCTACCGTTTGAAAATTTTATATAAAATACGACCCTACTTGTGCGAGGAGCTGCGTGAGCGGTTGGTGGAGAGTTTGGTTCTGTCAAAACTAAACTACGCAGATACTGTTATAGGCCCCAGGCTCTTTGCACGCACCGGGAGATTAATACAAAGAGTACAGAATGCCTGCGCACGATTTTGCTACAGTGTTCCACCAAGGAGTCATGTAACACCATTTTTGAACAAACATAATGCTTTAAAAATGAAATCACGCCGTAAACTTCACCTCGCCTGTCTAATGGTCGACGTGATAAAACACAAGTGTCCTCCATACCTGTACTCTAGGTTTGCATGGGTTAACAGTTACCGGGAGCGTGAGGGTAGGCGGTATGCTCAGCAGCTCGCTATTCCTCAGCATAGAACTGCAGATATAGAACTGCAGCTTTTCGAGGCAGCTTCCGTTACGCGGCTTCCAAGTGCTGGAATAATATTCCACCACCAATTAGAAATCTGAAAAATAAAAACACGTTTAGGTTAAAATTAAAAACTTTTATTTTGACATCCCAAATTAAATTTAACGACATTAATATTGACAATTCTTTTATCTAATTTCAGTTTATTGTTCCAATATAATCAAATTTTACTTACTTTTATATGCCAGCTTGGAAGTCTTTGCGTGTTGTTTGGGTGCTCACCGTGCGAGCATTGTTTTAATGTACCTCTACTTTGCATTATTTTAATAATTGTGTTTTAATTGAGATCATTTCGCCACTCGTAAACTATGCTGGAGTTTTTGTGTCCTGTGGCCAGTGGCTTTGTGGGTACGCGTCAGAATGAATCAGAGTTGTCACTGCAATAGTGCCTGTCTGGTTTGACAAACAAAACTGCGTAATAACCCTCAATTAATTAAAAAAAAAAACAGAGTAAACGTAGAAAGTGACTACCTCTTATAATTGCATTTTTACATTTTGTTTGTATGTATATATCGGATTTATACATTATTCTATTTACAATTTATATAATTTCATGTTTATTTTCTGTTCCTGTTATTGAGAGGCGGTACCGCCGTCCGGGAGTCACTGCAGGGTGCCACCTGACAATCAGCGTTGGGCAGAAACGTCTAACTATATGCTAAGGTGGAGGCCCTTTTGGCATGAGCACGCGCGTGCGTGACAGTGAGCTGCGCGACGTCGCCGCGACCGCGCACGCTGCTCATGAGGAAGAACCCCTCTGTGGTTCGAAACTAGTAGAGCTTTTCTCAGTATATTCACGTGAGTAACCCGCGTTTTTACTTAAAATATAAACTTATGTCCACAGAAGGGATTTATTTTCGGTTGACTTAAATTAAACAGAAATAATATATCAGTCAAACTGAATATATAATAATGGGATAAACATAATTATGAGAAATATTGAGATCGTGAAAGAAATTACTAATCTATATTCTAAGACGTTACAAGCGCCATTTGTAACACCCTAGAATAATAATGTTGTTTTATTCGTCATTGTCACTATCAGTGTAGGGATCGACAAACGGTTTTTGAGACTGCTGAGGTCGTACAATGAAGTCACCTTCACCACTGCTGTCTGTGGGTAATGGATGACGATGTCGTGGAGTGAAAATTACATCAGAGTCATCAGAGTCTGATCGGAACCTCGATCTCTCATCGTGTTTAGGTAAAGACACATCATCAGAGCTTGATGAAAACCTGGGTCTTTTGTTGAGACGCAATGGGAGATTCTGAGTAAAAATTTCATCAGAATCATCAGAGTCTGACAGGAAACCGAATCTTTTACAGGGATGTAATGGGATATTATGAGAAGTACCTTCTTCAGGTGTTATCTGATTTGACCTATAAGTTATTGTAGAAGCATTGGCTGTGTCTTCACTTCTCGGAGATACGTTCCTTGCGTCAGCTATACTCAAGGGCCTATGCGATTGTGCATTATCGGACGGAACCTTTATCTGGCCAATTCCAAAATGTGGACAAACAGCATTTGTTGCACAAGACAGACAACTAAGTCTTCTTACATGTAAAATGTTTGGTTCATTTCGATTCCAAGAAAGTTGATGTATCTTAAATGTCCCTTTGTAAGCTTTCATTGTATTTTTGTCGACCATTTCTTGAATGTCTTGAACATTTGGATCTCCTATTCCATAAATCTCTATACCTTTACAGGTCTCTTTTAAACATAATATAAGAGAGTCATAATCAGAGACATCTCTTCCCATTGCAACTGAACTGTCACACAGCCTTTTCAAACAGCCACCTACTCCGTCTGGAGCACCTTTGCCATGCCCTTTTTCACTGTAGTGCCAAACAATATCGGTCACATCATTTAATTCTCGACTAATGAATTTAACAATTAAAAAAAACATAGTTTTGTTTCGGTATTGGGTTGTTGGGCCGTCACTCAAAATATGTAGTTCTGTTAAATTTGGATTGATTTCTTTAATTCGCTGTAGAATTGGTTTAAGGTGAGCACAGATTAAAACAGGATCATGGCGCAAATTTTTTGAAATAGAGCACATTGATGTAGTTTGAAAACCATTGTCCGGAAATTCAGCCACGCTATAATATACGCAAGTATGAAGAGACAATTGTGGCTTAGAGCCACCAAAATGAGCCGACTGAACCTCAGTGCTATATTTACATGTATAATTTTCGGAAAAATCTATATGCAACAGGCCTTTAGAAAACGTTAATTGTTGTTTAAATTGTTGTATTGTTCTTATCTGATGAATCATATTAGCTACATGTTGCATGAATACAGGTAAATTTAAATGTAATAGCTTCACTAAAGCACCTATCGTAGTTTTAACAGTTTCTTTTAAACATTTCTTGCATTTTTTCTGTGCACCTTTGATAATTACATCCACATCTTTTGTAACCCATCTATCATAAGTTATATAATCGTTTTTGTTAAAATTATGAAAAACAAGTTTCTTACTAAGACAGCCCTGACACTTTCCCTCTAAACATTTAGGAGACAGTGTATTATTACAACACAATACCTTAACAGCATCGGAGGCAGATCCGTAAGAAAGAACTTTAGATTTTTGAAGTGATCGAATTATTTGATCATTATTTTCATGTAGCGTACAAAAACAGGTGTTTCTTGATACTGCTTTTGGAAACAGAACCCAAAAAGGTCGATATCTTCTAAAGGTCTGATAAGAAATATTTAATCCTGTTTTGCGTTTAAATATTGTGTAAGTTTAAAAGTGTACCATTTAGTAAACGAATTTGCCGTTTACTTTTATTCCTAGTTATTGTTTCATTTTTACCTGCAGTTAATCTACTATATTCATCATCCATTAAAAAATCATGCACAGCTTTCCTGATATCCGTTTTTAAGACTTTATTTTTAGAACTCGACTTTGACGCTTTCTGTTTTCTTTCTTCTAGTCTTCGTATTCTCATTCTATATTTTTTAATTACTTTCCCCATGTGTAATACCTTTTTCTTTAAAACCTCATTTTCAGCTAGTCTTGCTCTTTTGTTTCGGGCAGCTACTGCACGTCCAGATTCAACTCGCGAGAATGATGCAGATGGACTTGATGGTGGAGTATCTTCTTGTATGAGTGCGTCAGTAGCTTTTCGCATTTTTAATAATTCTCGCCGTTTCTTTGATTTTTCGCGCCACATTTTTCTTATTTGACGCTGTTGTCTCGGTGTATATTGATCAATAGTTTTGATATCTCCTCTATCCTTTTTCTTATGGTACCTTTCGCGATCTTTTTTGCGTATCTCTTCAACATCAGCTTCAGTTAACTTAGCCCGCGCTCGACGCATACTTAATTTCTTTTGTTCACGCCGCCTTAACTTTTTTTCTTCATCAGTAAGATTCTGTAGTCTATTTTTTCTAGGCATTTTAGTTTACTGAAACAATGACAATGAACCATGTATCACCACACCAAGCTAAGCATTAAAACAGGCATAATACGTTATTGCGACACAACATTGGTAAAAAAGTCCCATAATAAACCTGACAATAGTATATAGATATATAAATAT